TGCATGAAAATAACAGGTAGGGAAACACTCAACAGGATCATCTTGCATGAAAATAACAGGAAGTGAAACACACTCAACAGGATCATCTTGCATGAAAATAACAGGAAGTGAAACACTCAACAGGATCATCTTGCATGAAAATAACAGGTAGTGAAACACTCAACAGGATCATCTTGCATGAAAATAACAGGTAGGGAAACACTCAACAGGCTTATCTTGCATGAAAATAACAGGAGATGAAACACTCAACAGGATCATCTTGCATGAAAATAACATGTAGCGAAACACACTCAACAGGCTTATCTTGCATGAAAACACTAACAAAATGGAGTAGGGCATCGATCATGAGTGTAACACTAACAAAACGAAGTAGGGCATCGATCATGTGTGTAACACTAACAAAACGGAGTAGGGCATCGATCGTGAGTGTAACACTAACAAAACAAAGTAGGCATTGATCATGAGTGTAACACTAACAAAATGGAGTAGGGCATCGATCGTGAGTGTAACACTAACAAAACGGAGTAGGGCATCGATCGTGAGTGTAACACTAACAAAACGGAGTAGGGCATCGATCGTGAGTGTAACACTAACAAAACAAAGTAGGGCATCGATCGTGAGTGTAACACTAACAAAACAAAGTAGGGCATCGATCGTGAGTGTAACACTAACAAAACGAGTAGGGCATCGATCGTGAGTGTAACACTAACAAAAAAGAGTATGGCAAAGTTGACTTTATTGTGAATAAGCTCATATTTTTTCTTTGTTTCGTAAATTTACATTTACCTTTTTAATCGAGGCATCTGGAAAATATCTTGCCACACTGAAAATAAACTTCGATGAAAGTCTTTCTGTCCTACAGATGCATGCTGAACATCTGAGAGACTGAACTCCTGTTTTTGTTTTCCAATGAACTACATAAGAAAATCAAGATATCCCCAATGCATTAATACATACAAAAAATCATATCCAGATTGTGAACACAGTAATATAGTAAAAGTTTATATTAGAACTAGGTAATCATCTATGACCATCGAATACATCAATTACTGACGTGTAAAACTGTAGAATAATCAAAATAAGATTTTTTAATAAAATAATTTTACTAAAGAATTGTCTGTGAATTTATTTATGAAGCCTTCACTGAGTCGTTCTAATTGAAAGGTGATTTTCACGCTAATAATAAATGGTTGAAAGGTGATTTTCACACTAAGAATAAATGGTTGAAAGGTGATTTTCACACTAAGAATAAATGGTTGAAAGGTGATTTTCACGCTAAGAATAAACGACTGAAAGGTGATTTTCACACTAAGAATAAATGGTTGAAAGGTGATTTTCACACCAAAAATAAATTATTGAAAGGTGATTTTCACACCAAGAATAAATGATTGAATGGTGATTTTCACACCAAGAATAAATGATTGAAAGGTGATTTTCACACTAAGAATAAATGATTGATTGAAAGGTGATTTTCACACCAAAAATAAATTATTGAAAGGTGATTTTCACACCAAGAATAAATGACTGAATGGTGATTTTCACACCAAGAATAAATGATTGAAAGGTGATTTTCACACTAAGAATAAATGGTTGAAAGGTGATTTTCATGCTAAGAATAAATGATTGAAAGGTGATTTTCACACCAAGAATAAATGATTGAAAGGTGATTTTCACACTAAGAATATGAGTACTTCTTTACATCATGCATTTTTCATAACCTCCAGAAAATCATTGACTCCAGAAATTAATTATCTTAACAGCTTCAACGTCTTGCTTTATTGACATCTTTTCTTTTAATTTTATGGTTTTACTAGAAATAAATTACCTTATAACACTAGAATGTTAATATTTAATTAGACACTCAATGTTTCGCTTTACAGCTTCTTCAGGAGCGTTCACTAAAACACAAACCAAAACTGACAGTACAAAGCTTCAAATGGTTTAAAATATGTCTTCTATACACCAATATGAACTACACAAATTAAATAAAGTTTTATGGTTTAAACTGACAGTACAAAGCTTCAAATGGTTTAAAATATGTCTTCTATACACCAATATGAACTACACAAATTAAATAAAGAGTTTTATGGTTTAAACTGACAGTACAAAGCTTCAAATGGTTTAAAATATGTCTTCTATACACCAATATGAACTACACAAATTAAATAAAGTTTTATGGTTTTACTGCTGTGCTGCGGACTATCTACATTCATACTAATTTGTTTAAAAAGCAGTAATTTACAGCAGCAGCCAGTCAGCAGTTCCCATTGAGCTAATGTAAACAGCAGAATCATGTTACACATGGGCTTGTGTTTGTAAAGTTTCAGATGTTGAACTTTACAGAAGTTCTGTTAGGCCATGCCCATTGAGCTAATGTAAACAGCAGAATCATGTTACACATGGGCTTGTATTTGTAAAGTTTCAGATGTTGAACTTTACAGAAGTTCTGTTAGGTCATGCCCATTGAGCTAACGTAAACAGCAGAATCATGTTACACATGGGCTTGTATTTGTAAAGTTTCAGATGTTGAACTTTACAGAAGTTCCTCTTTTTTCTATTTTAGTTACCATTGTTAAAATATATACAAGGATTTGTAGCATAATTGTGTTCATTTGCACTCGGGTAAAAATTGAGGATGTTTTCTGAAAAGCCTCATCGAGCCTCAGAAATTTAGATGTTAAAAATTCCTTAAGCATCTAAGCTGCAAAATATAATCACCACAACCAAACAATTCTACTGCATATCTCTTTATAGCAGGAAAATTAAAGGCTGCCTTATAAGATTTATGTAGAGTAGAATCTGCTCTTTCTATTGATTATAAGCATGTCTGTTAGCCATGTAAAGTCAAGTACACACTAAGCTTTAAGTTATTTGATTAACTGATTTCTCAGCATACATGTGTATTTCTACAATCTCTTTCAGTATGTGCAGTAAAATGTTTGTGTATTAATAATAAAAAAACACAATATTGTGTGAGGAAGTTACAGCATTTTTAGGATTTTCTATAAAACATTAACTTCAAACTTATTAATCATTTTAATCTCTGCAAAGAAATCATCTAGTATTATTACAAGTATCCTTGTCAAATAGCAAGAGTTGTACAGCCTTTCTCAGTCTAGAAATTAAGTACTATCATTGAATTATATATTGTTACGTCTCCGTTTGTTAATTAATTTTCCGTAACTTCGTTCCGACGAAACTTAAGCGACACAAGTCCTTTCTTAATAAAACTGGTTTATTCTTCCCGAATATAACTTTACCGATACACTCAACTTCAACAATCGCGCTAAACAAATGCTATAACAACGAACGTCAATAATACTTCTGACCGCAGATCAATTACTCACTATCTTTTCACACACATTACATTCCCCTCTTTTATATACCAG